GAGCCCGGAGCGCGCAGCCCGAGCGGAGGCTGGGAGGGCGCAGGGCGGGGCCGACTGGGGTCGCTGGGTCGGGAACTGCGGAGCGAGGAGGAGCTCCCTGCGGGGAGACACGACCAGAGGGAGCAGTGTGAGCAAAGGCACTAGGACGAGGAAAAGTTAAAAGAACTTCACTGAAATGAAACCTGGGTGGAGGGTTCGGTGGGAACTGTAGGAGATAAGGTGAGGAGAAGGCAGCAGGTGAGTGGGAAGGCCTTGCCCAGCACAGGGTTTGGGTGTCCTCGGGGAGGTGATAGGGTTTTGAGGAGAGGCAGGATCGGATTTGGGAATACTGAAAAGCTGCGCTTCCAGCCCCTTCCTCGTTATTTCCAAAAACCTCAAACTCACAAGTTCATCATCTTTGCAAATTGGTTGCTTTTGCTGTAATCTTAGTTTTGGTTTACAACACCAACTCCCATCCAGTTGCCTAACCCAGAAATCGGAAAGTCACCCTATATAGTCCTCCCTCTCCTTTACCCTTTCCTGTACATGTAGTCAGCCACTAAAATCTACTTCGGAAACGTCTCTTAAATCGAACCCATCATTTCCCTTCCTGCGCCTGCTGCCTTTGCCTTAGTTCAATAACTCATTCTCTCTGGCCTGAACAGTTGTAACGGCCTCGTAACTAAACGTTCCACCCCTAAATGTCCTGGGCAGTATTTTATTTGAGTGTTTCACTCGACAGGACCAAGTTCTAACTCACTGGGTCACACAGAGTTCTTCAGATACAGCTCCTGGCTGCATCTCTGTTGGAATAGCCTCCTCTTGCTGAGTACCCAGGACACACCTAAAACAGACACGTTTTTAGTCTGGGAAGAGTCTATCAAACAGACAAAAATCCCTTTATTAAATGGATTAGAAGTATCCAGTGGGAGCAGCCAATCAAAAAATAAACAATGTAGTATGTCAGCTACAAGAAGTGCAAAGAAAAATAAAGCAAGGAGGAGGATTGGGGGCACTGAGTGGAGTTGAGAGGTTTCTTGTTTTAAAAGGAATGGCCAGAGAAAGTTTAAGCAGACAAGGGGACGAAAGATTGAGCCATTCACTGGGGAAAGAGCATTCTAGGCAGAGGAAACACGTACAGATGCCCCGAGATGTTAGAAGTGAAGCTTCTCAGTGCACTTAGTGTTGTAGGAACTTAAGAGAAGATCACTGTAGCTGGAGGACGGTGACAAGAGGGTAGGAGATGATTCATGAAGGTATTGGGGGGCCAAGTCATGTGTGGCCAGGTAGTGAATTAAGGCAGGAGCACAGAATGTGTTTGGGGGAGAGGTGGAAGGTCAAAGAATTATTATTATTATTATTATTATTATTATTATTTTTTAAGATGGTTGGGCTGAGGAGGAAGAGAGAGAGGCTGAAGATATAGGGAAAAATATATACTTGAAAGGCAGGCACATCCTGGGGAGGCTGCCTAAAATGGGCCCGGAGCCCGGCTGGGTGTGGCTCAGCGATTGAGTGTTGACCTAGGATCCAGGCGATCGGGGTTCGATTCCCGGTCAGGGCACATGCCCGGGTTGCGGGCTCAATCCCCAGTTGGGGGTGTGCAGGAGGTGGCCGATCAATGACTCTCTCATCATTGATGTTTCTATTTCTCTCTCCCCTTCTCCTTTCCTCTCTCTGAAATCAATAAAGATACCTTTGGGGGAGGGGGGGAACACGGGCTTGGAGCATGCATTATTTATGCCTAAATTCCAGTTTTGGAAATTGAAATGAACCCACCAGGAAACTGAATTTGAGAATAAGACTTTATGAAAGTGCCCAGCGATGTAAATGAAGATGCTAGTCAAGACTGTCTCCTGAGGGGAGCCTTGGATCTAAAATTGTTTAGAGGCTGACTGTGTGATCTGAAGTACTGCCTACCATTATTTTAGCAGTCTGGAGTTTCATGTGGCTTCTCAATTTCTCAGTCAGCAGGCCACCACCTAGTCACGGTCTGCTCTGTTTAGGCCTGATCAGCCACATAGGGACGTGGTGATTCTTGTCTATCTTAGCTTACACTGAGAAAGCGATTCTCATCAGAATCACAGGATGTATGGGCCTCATTTTGTGAATGGGGAAGTTGAGGTCCAGAGAAATTAAACAACTTGTCCCAAATCAAACAACCGGGCAGTGGCTGAGCCAGAACTAGGGTGCAAGCAGCTCTGCTCTAGCATAGTGCTCTTTCCAGTTCCATGGTACCTCACTAATCAAGAGACCAATAGAAAGTAGTGAGTAGTCAGGCTCTAGATTGTATAACACAGTCTACAGCTTGGTTGAGAGAGGGCAGAGATCATTGGGGATGAAAGGGTCTGGCAAGTTTTTGAGGGAAGATAGAACTTGAACTGGAGCTTGAAATTGAGACAAGATGTGGTAAGAAAGAAGCTCAGAGCCATAAGGGATTTGAGGACACTGGGGAAAAACCCCAGGGCTGGAAGCAGCCTGGTGGCAGAGCCTTTTTTTTTTAATGTATTTTATTGATTTCAGAGAGAGGAAGGGAGAGGGAGAGAGAGAGAGAAACATCAACTATGAGAGTCATTGATTGGCTGCCTCCTGCACGCCCCCTGCTGGGGATTGAGCCTACAACCCAGCATGACTGGGAATGGAACTGCTGTCTTCTGGATCATAGGTCAATGCTCAACTGCTGTGCCATGCCCGCCGGCAGCCAGGGAACTTTTTAGAAGGTTACAAATCCCAGGCTGAGGAGCTAGATGCCAGTGTGTGGCCCTGGCAGTAGGGGATTACTTGAAGTTTCTGAGTAAGGGAGTAATTGTTGAGAGCTTGGTTTTGGTGAGAGATGAAGTGCAGAGGAGAGGCCAGCCAGGAATTGCTGCCTTCAGTTAAACGCGAGGTAGCTCCAGGTATATTATATGGGGGCTGTTCATATTCAAGGATAGGATGGGGCATAACTGGAAGAGCAGGTAAGAGAACTCCATTTTAGGACTTCATTTTAGAGGCTGAACTAGTGGCAAGTTGGGAGGAGATACTGGATGGTTGAGAAGGCTAGGCTGAAAGCCACACTCAACCTTTGGGAAGGCAGGAGAGTAGTGAGGTAAGGTGATAGACCATGAAGGCTGAAAGCAGTGTGTTTTGAGATGCTGAGCAGGAGAGGTTAGGAAGTAAGGTTCTCCAGGCTGGGTGGCTGCGTTGTGGTTGCCATGGTGGAGTGGTCAACGCAGCCAAGCCCCTTGCTCTCTCCCAGAGCTCTCCCCCAACACCAGCCTACCCTTCCATCCCCCTCCCAGGACATAGTGGATTTTCTTCGAAGGCTGGTGGAGAGTGAGCCCCAAGGCCTGCACCGGATCCATGTGGATGGGAGCAGCGGGCGACTACAGCTGTGGCACCATGGTGGGGAGTGAAGGGGCTGGGCCCAGGGATCAAGGCTGGTACCCTGGGGAGGGCTGGCCCTCAGATGATCCTCTCTCATATTCTACTTTCTTTCCTTTCTCTTTCGGTCTCCTGACAGACTACCTCCTGGACCATTTCTGTGATGAGGGGGAAACAACTAGACAGAGTGACAGGGGCAAGGGGGCTGAGGGACTGGGCACCTACTGCGGTCTCCAAAAGTCCTTCCTGTACCCTCCCCAAGGGTCTAAGCCCTGCCCTCAAAGACCCTCTGCCTCAGCATCCTTCTCCAGCAGCTCAGACAGCCTGCTTCAGGTGGCCATGCCCCAGAAGCTGCTGCTGAGTGAGGAGGTAAGACCATCTGCAAAGGGCTTCACCTTCCCCCAGGCTCCTTCCAACCCCCATATTCCCCTACCTATATTCTCCCCTAATCTGGACCTTTCAAGATCCATACTGCTTGCCTCTCTTTTGCTTTTTCTCTCTTTCCCTGTCACCTGCCCCTCCTCCTCCAGGAAGCCAACCGACTGGCTGAAGAACTGGTGGCTGAGGAGGAACGCACAAAACAGAAAGCAGAGAAGAAACGACTCAAGAAGAAGGTAGAGAGGGCAGGAGTGGGAGCTCAGAGGGATTTGGGGGAGGGAAAGAGGGAAGCTTTGTGGAAACAGGAGAGGACTCAATGTGGCCTACAGTGGATCCTCTTGCCAGGGGGCCCAAGGGGTACAGGGACCAGAGGGTCTCCTGGAGGCCACACGGTGCAGCAGTTTCCGGGGCCACACTATACTGCGTGGGTTGGAATCTGCCTCCTGCTTACTGTGAGACGTCTCCCACTCTTTCTGCTCGTCTGCTTTTTCACCTGTAAACTGAGGGTAACAACATCTGTCTCAGAGAGTTCCGAGGATTAAATGAGATCGTGTATGCAAAACTCTTAGCCAGTACGTACATGACCTATAGCATATATTCTACACATGAAGAATTGGCCTCAAGATGCAAATTGTATGTGTGTGTGTATTTAAGTATAGTGCTGAAAATACATCATCATCATTATTATTACAGCGTCAAAAGGACCGAAAGCGACAGGAGCGCAGGGAGCAGGATAGTGGGGTGCCCAAGGTGAGTGTCTGCAGGCAGGTACCAAGAGCACCAAGTGCCGGGAAGGTGGGGAATCAGAAGGTATGTGGCTCCAGGCGATCCCAGCTCTGTACCTACTTACCTTCCCTCCAGGTTGAGGCCTCCCCAGATGGGAATGGGAGCCCCCCATCCAGCCCTGGGAACCCAGCTCAGGGACAGTGTGGTGAGGAAGAGGTGAGAGCCCCCTTTCTTCCTCTCTTGGTCTCTGCCTACCACTACTTCCTCCTACCCCAGTACATACTTCATCCCTACCCCCTCCATACCTTTTCCTTTCTGTTCACAGGAAGCACTGGATCTATCTAGCACTTTCGTGTCTCTGGCTTTGCGCAAGGTTGGGGATTGGCCCCCTAGTGCCCTCAGAGAGAAGGAACTGAGCCAGGAGCCCCAAGTCAAGAGCCTAAGCCCTCAGAAGAAGGTGGGCCAGGAGGAAGGGAACTCTCCAAGAGAAGAGAGTCCCAGGCAGAGTCCTAAGGCAGAGGTAAGGTGGACAGAAGAACCTCAGCTGGAACCAGTGGAAGTGGTGCCAGAGGTTTCTGGGAATTCACATGACCTAAGGGTTGAGGGCAGCGGCCAGTAGAAGGAGTTCTCTGGCCCCAGGTTTAAGAGACCTGGGGTCAAGCTCTGTCATTGACACCCTGACCCTGGCTAGTTTCCTCTGCAGGAAGGTAAGGCTGATAGCATCTTGCAGAGCTGTCTTGGGAATTACATGAATTGGTTGATGCTAATTGTAATGTTAATTGGGTGAACAAAAGAGAAGACTTTGGGAAGGCTGAGGCCCAAGTCCTGCTTGACTTTTCTCCCCTTTCCATCCCTAGGCATCTCCAGGACTGCTGGCAGCTGCCTTACAGAAGAGCCAGGAGCTGGCAAGTAAGATTCCTTCTCCCTCCTCACCCCACCCTCCCTGGGGTAGCCCCATTGCAAGTAGCCCCATCTGAACCTTCCCACCCTCTCTCCTCACCAGAGTTGGGTACTGGCTTTGCCCAAAATGGTTTCTACCATGAGGCCGTGGGCCTCTTCACCCAGGCCTTGAAGCTCAACCCCCGGGACCACCGGTAGGTGGGGGCTTGGCCATTGTGCTGGGAGATCAGAGCAAGCTGGCAAGGTGTTGAGACCTGGACTTTTGACCACTTTGTCTTCATCAGGTTATTTGGAAATCGCTCTTTCTGCCATGAGCGGCTAGGTCAGCCAGTATGCGCCCTGGCTGATGCACAGGTGGCCCTTACCCTGCAACCCGGCTGGCCTCGAGGCCTCTTCCGCCTGGGCAAGGCCTTGATGGGACTGCAGGTAATGGGTCCCACATTGGAAGCAGAGGAGGAATTTGGGTGGGATGGGCGGGGATTGGGTCTACATTGACACTTTCTAGGTAAGCTCAATGTACCAGTGTCACGTCAGTGATACTAGGAGCTGGGCCAGTTTGAGAAAGGGGGCATTTTTAATATCCTTGACTCCTCCCCTTCCCCCAATACCTAAACTTTCCTCTTTCTGATCACTCTGGGACCAAAGCGCTTTGAGGAGGCAGCTGCTGTGTTCCGGGAGACTCTAAGAGGGGGGTCCCAGCCTGATGCAGCTCGGGAGCTCCACTCTTGTCTTCTGCAGCTCACTATGGTAAGGGAACCAGGCTCACTCTTGCTGAGGGGACAGCAGGAAGAATTGGCTGTGATTGAAACACCAGGCAGTGCTACCTTCTGCCTCAGTGGGACAGGGGGGCAGGAATGGGCGGGATGAGGGGCAGGGGCTGTGCTGCTAGAAAGGAGTATATCAGGTGCCTCTCCCTTTCCCTTCTCAGCAGGATCAGCGAGGAGGATACCCTGCACCACCTCCGCCACCTGGGTTCCCTCCGCCACCTGGGTTCCCTCCGCCATTTCCCCACACTGAGCCAGCAGCCTCAGGCCTCCTCTCCCTCAGTCACCCTCGAAGCACTGCTCCAAGAGCCCCTGGCCTTCTGAATCCACCCTTGAATTTTCCGCCTCATCACCCAAGCTTCTCCAACTGGCCCCACCCCCAGACTCAGAGTAGAAGACCTCTCCATCTCCAGAACCCCTCAAAGGGCTGGGGAATCCTGGGACCTGGGCCCCATCATCTACCTCAGACCAAATGAGGGAACACCTGTCCCTCATAGGATAGGCAATGTGTGTGTCCCATGGGAATGAGAGACACTGTGTGGTGGCTGTTCCCTGCATATTTTGAGACCTTGTACTTCAAAACCATAGTTAGAGACACCCCTGGTAGTCATTCCTCTTGCCACAGAAACATTCTGATGAGAGAAAGGAGCCCCAGGTCCACTAAAACAGCCTTTCTTCTCAAGCAGATGGCTTCTGGGGGAAATAAAAAATAAAGTCCACCAAGGCTCAAGAAGGGAAACTTACAAGTACAAAAGTTCAGGTTTTAAGACTATAATAGACCCAGCAGGGGCCTTTGGGGCAATTTCTGCTCTTGGCCCTGGGGAACTCATTCACTAGCCAGAGCTCTGTGCTCGAGAATGGGGTCATAGTGATGAGTAAGGCTGAGTCCCACCTTTCACCTTGATGGATGCTCACCTCTTCCTAATCCCAGTTCTCGCCTTGTTTCCTCTAGCCCCAGCTCCTCGTGCCTTGTTTCCTGTACAGATTTTTGTGCACATTCTGACCTATCCTTTGCCCAGTGGTCTCATGCTCACCTCCTCTTACTGCTAGATGATTCGCCAAGGGTTTGCATTTCGTAATTTCCTTTCCAGCTCCTACCTGGAGCTGGCAGAGCCCATAACATTTCCCCACTTCCCCACTGCTGGCTCTTCTGCTGATGGGGCCTCAACAGGCACCCAGGATGCTGCTACCTTGGCCATGTTTTTTCTCCACTTCATCACTGGGCATTGTAACTAGTCTTTCCCTGTGTGCATTTATTCAGTTTTTCCACCAAGGGTCACTGCCCACAGAGATGTCTATAATTCTCTACTTTCTATGTAAGAATCATGAGTTCTCTTTGGTTTCTCTGAGGTCCTAGCAGCTGCCCCTGGCTGGTTCCTCCCTAGCCTTGCCTGGGACTCTCAGCTCATTTAAATGGATCTGCAGGGGACTTTTAGGCCTCTCAGAATGCACTTCCAAGAGGAACCATTCAACAGGATAATCTGTGCCTCATTTCCCTCATCTGTAAAATGGGTGCAATCCCTACCTCACAGGGCTGTTGCGAGGACTGAAAAAGAAAGAAGATACCAAGTGCCTGGTACATAGTGACTGTTAAATAAACTAATTTTTATCTGCAACTGTCATACATATTCATGTTTCTCATGGCGGGAAGAGAGGAGTATGAATGAATTTCTGCCTATTTCACAAAATACAGAGTTCTTGGGATGGTAGTTCTCAAAGTGTGGTCCCTGGACCTGTGGCATCAGTGTCACTGGGAACTTGTTATAAATGCAAGTTCTCAGGCCCCACCTGAGACCTTCTAAATCAGAATCTGCAAGGCAGGGGCCCAGCAGTTTGTGTTTCAGTAGTCCGCCTGGTGATCCTGATGTACCCATCCAGAGGCCATTTTGATAGGACAGGTTTGAGTTTTGTTCAAGGCTTGATTACAAGAGGTGACAGTGCTGGGCTAGAATTTAGGAAGCTTCAAGTGGAGGAGGGTGATGGCTTAGAACCAATTAATTTGGCCCCTACCTTCCTAAGTAGAATTATTTGCCCTGGAATTTCTTTGCTTATGCCTGGTTGGGGAGTGGGGTTAGGGAGAGCTGGTTGTTGGTTTAAGGGGTGATTATATTAGTGACTCCACCAGAAGCCTGTCCATCTGGGCTTGTTCTGGGGGGAATTCTCTGTTTTGGGGACTCCACTAAGGCTCCTGGCCTCAAAGAATGGCTGCCTACCATTACTGTGCGGTATCTTTGCTTTCAGGCTGAGCTAGCTCCTTGCTCTTCCAGCCTCTCAAAGAAATGTTCCCTCCCTGTCCTGGACTTGAATCTTCTCCAAGAGCCACAGGACTGGCACTTTGTCCCCATACTCATACTGCTAACTGGTAGGGTTGTGACCCAGCTGCCTGAATTCTGCGTCCCCAGGGCTGGAAAGCAGGGTGATAAACCATCCTGATTCTCCTGGGACTGAGGGAAAATTAGTGCTAAAACTGGGAGGCAAAGTCCTGGGTAAACAGGAATGAGTTGATCACCCAAATCTGAAGATTCTGAGAGGCCTTTAGAAGGGGGTGAAGGGAATAAGCAAGGGGCCCTAAACAAGAACCAGAGGAGGTGTGTGTGTTGTGTATGTGTGTTGAAGGGGCAACACAGGTACAAAGAATACTTTTTGTATATAATGGCTGACAGATTTTTAGCTCTACCCTAGGTGTCATTATTTCTGTCCATGATGCTATTTTTCTTCCAGTTGCCCAGGTTTGCAAGGTTGTCACTGACTCATGCAATTTTTGGTCACTGGGGGAATCACACTGATTCCTCTTTTCTTTTTTAAAATATGTCTTTATTGATTTCAGAGAGAGGAAGGGAGGGGGGAGAGAGAGAGAGAGAAAAACATCAATGATGAGAGAGTCATTGATTGGCTACTTCCTGCATGCCCCTGACTGGGGATGGAGCCTGCAACCTGGGCATGTGCCCTGACTAGGAATCGAACAGTGATCTCCTGGATCCTAGGTTGATGCTCAGCTGTTGAGCCACGACTGGCCAGGCCTCTTTTTTAAAATTTTTTTGTTGTTCAATCCTCACCTGAGGGTATTTTTTCTATTGCTTTTCAGAGAGACTGGAAGGGGTGGGGGGCAGAGAGAAAAACATCAATTAGTTGCCTCCTGCACCTGCCCCAACAGGGGCCAGGGATCCAGCCTACAATGGAGTTATGTGCCCTTGGCTGGGATCAAACCTGGGACCCTTCAGTTCACAGGACACTGCTCTAACCACTGAGCCAAAGCAGCCAGGCACCGATTCCTCTTTTCTGAGAACCACCCTC